GGTATTTTTTTAACAACGCTTTGGGGACATTTCCAGCTCTGTTTGTTGCAACAAAGCCAGGTATTTTTTAATGTGTGTTGGGGTACTTCCACCCGTGTTTGTTGCAACACAGCCAGGTATTTTTTAATGTGTGTTGGGGTACTTCCACCCATGTTTGTTGCAAGAAAACCAGGTATTTTTTAAAGACACATCGGGACATTTCCAGCCATGTTTGTTGCAAGAAAACCAGGTATTTTTTAAAGACACATCGGGACATTTCCAGCCATGTTTGTTGCGACAACAATGGGTATTTTTTAACAACACACTGGGACATTTCCAGCCATGTCTGTTGCGACAGCATCGGGTATTTTTTAACAACACACTGGGACATTTCCAGCCATCTTGGGGCAGCAGTAGCTCAGTCCATAGGGACTTGGGTTGGGAACCGGTGGGTCGCCTGTTCAAGTCCCCGTCTGGACCAAAAAATTATGGAGTGTGGACTGGTGGCTGGAGAGGTGCCAGTTCACCTCCTGGCCACTGCCGAGGTGCCCTTGAGCAAGGCACCGAACCCCCCATCTGCTCGGGGCGCCTCACCAAGGGCAGCCCCCTCACTCTGACATCTCTCCACTTTGTGCATGTATAGGTCCTGTTTGTGCATGTGTGTGTCTTTCGGACCTGTGTGTAATTGACAAGCAAGAGTGAAAACATTGAACTTCCCCTCAGGGGGATTAATAAAGTAAATAAACTTATCTTCGTTATGACAAAACCGGGTATTTTTTTTGAACAACACATTGGGACATTTCCATCTCTGATTGTTGCGACAAAGCCAGGTATTTTTTAATGTGTGTTGGGGCATTTCCACCCATGTTTGTTGCAATTCAACCAGGTATTTTTTACGACACATTGGGACATTTCCAGCCATGTTTGTTGCAACAACATTGGGTATTTTTTAATGACACATTGGGTCATTTCCAGCGGTGTTTGTAGCGACAAAACCAGGTGTTTTTGTAACAACACATTGGGACATTTCCAGCTGCGTTTGTTGCAACAACACCTGGTGTTTTTGACGACACACTGGGACATTTCCAGCTGTGTTTGTTGCCACGAAACCTGATGTATTTGACGGCACACTGGGACATTTGCAACCATGTTTGTTGCAACAAAACCAGGTATTTTTTAATGTGTGTTGCAGCATTTCTAGACGTTTGTTGCAACAAAACTGGGCATTTGTTTAAAGGCACTTCACGTTTCCAACTGTGTATGTGACAAAACAGGGTATTTTGTAACGATAGGTTGGAACATTTCCAGCTGTGTTTGTTGCACCAAATCCAGGTATTTTTTAAAGAACAGTCATTTTTGTCGTGATAAAAAATTTTTTTTTAGACAATATATTTCGAGCTGAGTTTGTTGTGACTAAACCAGGTTTGTTTTAAGCCAAAACATGATGTTTTCCTAACCCTAAGTGGATCTTGTGCCTAAACCTAACCACATGTTAACCTCAATGTTGTTACAACATAAAATTAAAAATTTGAACATAAATAAATGTTAAGTTTCAACATGTTTGCTATGTATATAAATGTACAAATGTAACATATGTTGCTTGCAGAAACATATTTATATTGGCAATTGGGTTGCATAGATCATTTGTATTAGCTTTTAATTGTGTTTATATTACTGTATCAGTATTTCACTTTCCTCCCTAACTACCATCACTTTGGGAGTATTAGTTCCATCAGAATGCTGTGCATGTCCATTAAAAACCCACACTCAAGTACTTAAATGCTGCAACTAATTATCTGTTGATTGTAAAAGCAAAAACCAAATAAATACTGCAGCTGTGAGTATGCTTTGCATAATCCGTTCCTTGTGGAATCGCACACAACATTAGCTACTTTGGAAAACACAGTATGCTGAGTTAATTCAGGGGAAAGGAGAAAACGTATCCTCTCCATTACCGAAGTGATGGAGGAGTAACATGCCTCATTTAGAAGACTTATTTGAGGCTTTGGAGGAACGAGTGAAGAATAGGGAAAGCCACAACAAAATACATTACTCTGCAGAAAGGCAGCTTGTAATATGAAAGCAACATGTCGGGCAGAACAGGACAAATGAGCTGTGTAATATGTTAAGATGAGCAATAATAGGTAATAAAATGAAATACCAAAGTCTTTTTCGTGTTTCTGGAAGTAAACAACAGAAGGCATCAGTCTGCACACTGGCCCAAACAGTCTGGTGTGCAACACTAATCTGTCACAGGACGGACACAACTGATGAAAATCAGACACCTGATGTGTGACAGCTGCACATAAAGAAAGGCCATCACCATTTCTCAGAGCCCAATCAATCCAAACACCACTGGAAAAGTATATTTAGCTCAAAGGGCCAAGCGGGAAGTAAATATTTTTACTGGATTTTTCCATTTAATGATATGCAGCAGATGTGGAACGAGATGGAGGCGAGAGGCATGGGAATCACTTTACTGACTGACTGTGTCACTGCCAATATGAAACCAGTCAGAGACAATAGAAGACTTTCAAGTTAGCATTAAAGAGGTTAAAGGTTAAATATGTTTTACTGGGGCTCTTCTATGTACGAACCCAAGACCCTTCATCCCCAAATAACTGGGTTTTACAACAAAAAGCCTACAGTTGTTTTTGTCAAATCTGGGCCTTTGATTGTATGGTTTGGCACAGGGGACCAAGGATTTGTTATGCATTACAGACAGTATGCTAAACTCTCATTTTTCTACTCTGCTGAAATCTGGACAAATTGTGGGCTTTTCTCGGGACCAGTTGGCTCGGGCAGGGTATGCATGTGCACGCATTTGTTTCTGTGTGGAAGCATGCATGTGCATGTGAATGAATCAAATTAAGGTCCCTGAATCTCCCCTCCGGCCATCACTAAAAGTTGTCAGTCATCTCCTCGTTTAATTCCAAAAAGATGAGCACTCACATGCTAAAGCTACGCCCACCTCGCCACAGGATTTGGCACCGAATCTGAAGCCCGTCGGTCTGCCCCTCGGCCCAAAATATGGAACCAGGGTGCCCGGCACACAAAGCATATTTACCAAATGAAAAGTGGCGCCACATTAGTTTTACACATTTTCTGTTTGATTCAACAAAGCATTAAATCCACAAAAATAAGCCGTATCAGATAGCAAATGGAAAGCATGAGTGTTTGAGTTAGTGTGTGTGTGTGTGTGTGTGTGTGTGTGTGTATGTGTGTGTTGGTACCCCTCGGAGGATGAAGTGAGATGTTGTGCTGTACTTGGCTGTGGGGTGTTTCATTTCAGCCCCGCACAATACCATAAAGTATTCATTTTAAGGAGTCATTTAATCCAATACACAGAGCTGCGATCTCACTTTATTGAAGAAAGAGAAAATCGATCTCTAATGCAAAACAGCTTTCTGCAGCAGCCTTATCTGGTAGAGTGATCAAATATTCCTGTTATTTAATAATAAAAAAGGTAAAACTGTGCTGAAATATAGTGGAATTGTCTCACCTCATTGGTATAACAAGATAAAAAAAAATAGGTTTGACATTGGTAATTGTAATTGGTATTAAAATGTCTTAAATTAATCATTCGAAAATCTTAAAAATGCTCAAACATGGGAAGCAGGATTTTATGAATTGTTTTTTTTTTCTGATGATGCATTTAAAATCTCTAAATAACGTAAATAACATCTACTTCTAAAAAATAATTTCCTGAATGCCTCTCACATTAACATCATGCAGATCAGGATAGTGGAACCTCACATTTTGTTTCTGTCCGGCATGCTCAGAGCAGAGAATCTACTGCACCCTGGACGACGTGGGGAAGTACAAATTCAACAAATATTCTCCATTTAACCAAGATTTCGTGGCATGGCTGAAACCTGTACGAGGCAATGCACACAAGGCTCTGTGTATTTTGTGCAAAAACCTTTTCAAACTTGGCACAATGGGAATCAAAGCAGTGGAATCCCTCATGCAGAGTGAGAAATCTCCAAGAAAGCCCACCAACAAATGCCATGTATTTCCCAATAACAACACATTAACCACAATGTTGTCACAACATAAACTGAATTTTTAGATGAAAATAAATGTAAAGTTTCAACATGTGTGCTGCATATAAAATGTACAAATGTAACTTATCTGTGGTTTGCAGAAACATACATTTATTCTTAAAATGTCTCAAATCAATTATTCAAAAGTCTTAAAAATGCTCAAACATGGGAAGTAGGATTTTATGAATTGTATTTTCTTTTATAAATTATTTACTGGGGCGTCGGTGGCTTAGTGGTAGAGCGGACGCCCCATATACAAGGCTGTTGCTGCAGCGGCCCGGGTTCGAGTCCAGCCTGTGGCCCTTTGCTGCATGTCATCCCCTCTCTCTCTCCCCCCTTCACACTTAACTGTCCTGTCAAATAAAGGCAAAAAATGCCAATAAATAAATAAATAATTTACTGAATGCCTCTCACATTAACGTCATACAGATCAGGATAGTGGAACCAACAACGTACATTTTCTTTCTGTCCGGGATGCTTAGAGCAGATGATTCACTGCTAGCTAGCTGTCACTGTGCCCTGGACGACATGGGGAAGTGCAAATTCAACAAAAATTGTCTATTTAACCAAGATGTCGTGGCATGGCTGAAACCTGTACGAGGCAATGCACATGAGATGTGTTGTATTTTGTGCAAAAACTTTTTCAAACTCAGCACGATGGGTATCACGGCAGTGAAATCCCACATGCTGAGTGAGAAAGAAAGCCATCAACAAATGCCATGTATTTTCCAAAAAGTCATGTTTTATGTTACAATAAACATCAGGACAAAACTGTCCCTAACCCTGAGCAATTGTGGTCGATTCATGGGTTTTTTTTTCTTCAAGTTTGGCTTTGTAAATTTGGTCTTAAATTTAATACTGAATGGCAATAAAAACAGTCTTTGACAGTCTTAAATCTGACTTGCCCCAAGCTGCAGGAACCTTTTTTGACTTTGAGACTAAATCTCTTGTTTAAATGATCTTTGTCTTTTGCAGTGTGGAAAAAAACATCCAAACCAGGAACACCAGTTCAGTCTGGGCTACTCAAGCCTCCTCCAGTGCCAGCACTTGGACTCTGTGGGAACCTGCAGGTCCAAGGTTGAAAATGAAGCGGAGAAAATGAAGGGGCCACTTTGCCACGTCGTCCCCAGAAGACACGCGACCCATACACAGTATGTTACTCTGATTATCTTTGGATTTTACAGGACAAAACAGTGGTGATCAAAGGCACATATTGAATATAAGTAAGGTTTATCTTTACACCCTCTCTTTGCATTTCCCGTCACTCTTCTCTTCACATTAAATGAGAAATATCTGATAACAAATCTCCGAACGAAACACTTCACTGACCAGTTCACATGGCCTCAGATCTCAGGTTGTGAAATTCTTTTCAGGAGGCGATAGAAAGCAAGAACAGGATGGTGTTGACAGATTTATTTGCACAGGATGGATGTTATAAGCTCCTTCTGCACTGCATTCTGTTATGGTACCTGCAACGTGGCCTTTGGTTTCCACCTGCCATCCACAGTAGGACGCCCCCACCTGGCCACCCGGTGTCTTCACTGACAGGTGAAGACAAAGATCCTGCAGAGAGTGAGGCTCTGCACGTGGCATCAGGTTTAACAAGCTGTCACCAGGCTTTAGGGGATGGAGAAATGATGGTGAGTTTGGATGTTCATGTACGTGTGCCCGAACGAACTGTACACCCGAGCATATGTACACGTGTGTGTGAGTGTGTGGGACACTGCAGAAACACAGGAGGCGCCTGGAACTGTTTCCAGTTAAAAGCAGAAGCCCCCACAACAAAGGCCCTGGCCGGGGGAGTCGTAACGAGGAGAATATCATTTTTCTTTGGCCTCTGTGATCTGCCATTCTTACGTTTCACTTTCAAAGCTGAGCTTGCTGGCAGAAGTCCTCAGCTCCGCATCTCTGATGGAAAGAAGGAACGCTGCCCTCCGCCTCTCCTCTCCTCACCTCTTTTCCCTTCTTCCAAAAAAAGACAGAAATGAGGAAAAATTCCCCACATGCCCGTCTTACTTGCCACGGCTGATAAAAGAAGCATGGATGTGTTGGAAGCTGTACTACTCTGTCAGTCCAGCTCTAAGGAGATCCTGCAGTAATCCCCCGACAGGCCATTTAAGGCCTGTGGCTTCCTGGTTAAGATCTCTTTAGGAATCCCAGGGCGGAAAATGGCACAACTTCTCATCCTCCATGGCCTGCCAGCAATTACTGGAGATGCAATGGAGCAAGGTGGATGTAGTGGAACTGCTGAGGGGAAAATTGTAGTTGCCCTGGGGTGTCTCAACCTTTAAAGAAAAATATAGATGTGTAAGAAAACAATACATACAGTACAGCATGCTCAGGTAAATTTTGGCCAAGACTCACCTGAAAACTCTTTTTCAGTCTAAAGATGTCATCCTGTTGAATTAAGGTTTAACAACATGTTTTTAAATGGGATAAAAGTGGAACTCTGATCTGTCAATGACCCTGAGGTACACTGTTTCATGCAGATAATTTCACACTTAGATTTGCTACAATTATAAATAATAGAGATGATTGAGGAGAAGAAATGTTTGGGCACTCTAGCGAGGATTTCGTAACTCTTACACTTATTTTCCCCTAAGTCAACAGGAAATTGGCCAGACGCCACTCCTTACCCACAAAATCCCCTCATACTGCCTTTAAAAAATTCACAAATCATCACTGCTTTACCACATTGAAAGGTCTAATCAATGCACTTGTCAACAAGCCAATCATCCTAACTTGACCCACAATTTTTGTTAAACCTTTTATTTCACCACATACACAGAAATCAAAGCAGAATGTCCTGCACTAATACGGCTTCAATGTGCCTCTGAGCACAGCACTTAACCTCTGACCTGTTTCTATCAGTCCTTACCTGACAGCAACATGGGAACAGAGTGTGAGAGTGACTGTAAAAAATAACCACAGTATGAAACATTCATTTAAAAATGTGTTTTTATAGTTTTTCTCTAAATGCTTAAACACTAACATGGATTCTTGAAGCACTGTCTCTGAAACTATTACCACTTGTAGCCAGTGAGTTTCATATTGTGGCAAACTGAGTGCATGTTCTCCGCTTTACTCTGTTTGTAATTTATAACATGCTTTTGCAAAACGGTAAACACAACTCAGTGCTTTACACTCAGTTTGCATTTTAATAACACACTTCTAGCAAAACTGTAAACAATTTTCTCCACAATGCTACACTGCTTTGCCAGTGAGCTTTCCACACTGACACGTGTTGCCTGGCTCAAGACAACATCGCATGTGATGTGGAGTTTTATGGTCGGGCCCACATAGAAGACGAGAATTAGCCTTTTTTTCTGTTGGATTTGGATACCTGTATGTATGTGTATTTACTACATGTATGATAACTTTATATCAGACTGCTAACGTTATAGCCTGCACACAGAAAACACAAAGGGTTTTTCATTTATACTATCAGTGCATAGTTGTTGCTTTTTGTGCATATTAAAATTATGGTTTTTGTGTCCTGTACTGACACAAAAACACATTTTTGAAGAGTTTTGCAAAAATTGTTTGCTTTTGCAAGAGATGTTTAATGTTCTGCTGGTTTGGTGGAAGGTTTTGTGGTTAGTGGGCAGAGGTTTGTAAAAATAAACCCCAGTTTCAAAGACAGTGCCTAAGCAATCACAAAAAAACTAACTACATGAGTCAGGAGATGTGAGGGATTTGTCCACATATTGCTGAAATTATTATGTACACGTGAAACACTAACATCATAGTAACTACATCACAACTCTTATCTAAAAACAGCCATGCCTATAACATATGCATTAATCAGTATGAATATGACTTCAACGAAGGATCTTTCCACCTCGTTGTTTTGGTTTTACAGTCCACAAATTTACTGATAGGCTCACTCTCATCCTTGTCACCAGTCGCCAGAAAAAATGCTGGCATTGTATATTTCTCTGAACAACATGTTGAAGCTTCTTTAATTTCAACAATAATGTGTTTAATGTGTGGTTAGGTTTGGGCACAAAAAACACTTTGTTATGGTCAGGAAAAGATCATGTTTTGGTTTATAATACCCAGTTTGGGTGGCTCTATTTCAGTTACAAATGCAGCTATGTTGCAGTAAAATGCAACTGCTTTTCATGACACTGTCCCTGGCTAAAACCTCCCCCCATTTGGTGACAAAAGAGCCCCTGGAAATGCAGCGATGACACTAAAAAGCCATCAGTTTTGTTGTTTGTTGGTCTCTAACAGTGTTCTGCAGCCTGGCTCGACCATCCCTTCCACCTTCCAATGACAAACTCAGCTCATGTACTACGTCACCTTAAAAATGTTGATATGATCCGCATGAAATATACAAATGTAAAGTATTTTTGGTTTTCAGAAACATAAAATGCCAGAGTTTTTCCTCTGTCCACTGGGCTGCTCATCGACCCTGTCTCTAGCTGCAGCAGGAAGCTGTTTTCAGTTGTTCTCAGAGCCAGATATTTCCCACAGGAGTAGGATGAGATCAAAACCAAACTAAAAGTAGGGTTCATATTTCACTTATTTTATCATGTGGCCATAAACCCGACTCAAAAAGAGCGCTGATGTTGCTCAAGGTCGGCTAGACATATGAATTGATAACAGTTTGCTAACATGTTTGCCATAACAATTTTACAGGGGGATAATATATCAACGATGCATGTGTTGTGTTTAAAATTTGCTTCACTGCCCCCAAGTGTTCAAAACATCAGCTATTGCACGTTTAAGTTGAAATAGTTTGTCAGCACATGATTTATCCTGTGAACTGATGTACAATTATGGCCTTATCTTTACCATCAGGCGCCTTGTTGCAGTGGCCCATATTCTATGGGCCATTGAGTTTTCCTTAAAGTGATGAGCGTGCCTCTCATGTGCTGAGCAGATCTGTGATTTTGACTTGATGCCCGCAGTGTGGCGGGGGGGATATTATTCATTGAGCTGGTATTTATGGGCGGAAGGAAAGCGGCTTTGATAGAGCCTCTCTTGAGCGTTCTCCAAGATGAGATGTACTCATGTCCTCGACCTCTTGACTCTTCCCCTCTTCATCTCTCTTTATTTCCCATCAAACAATACGGCAAACCCTTGAAGCTCGATGTATGTGCATGTGTGTGTGAGAAGAGAGGGAAAGATCTGAAAGGCTCTGCTCTATTAAAATGTTAAAAGGCTAAAACTCCAGTTGAACTTCCTTGTAAAAAATATTATTGGACAGATAGGATTAGAAGACATCCAAGAGGTGTAAAGTGGATGTTTACTCAAAGGGAATCTCTGATCAACTCAGAGTGCAGAAAGCGCACAGCACCCTGATGTCATTTAGGTTAGATCTTAATTTCAAATCATATGCATGCTTCCTTAACTGTCACGCTCTGTAGGACAGCGTTTTGAAGTCAGAGCTTTGAAAATGATTCAGCCATGTGTTGCTGTTGTTTTGTTATTGTTGTAAGTGCTGAAATCCATCTCACATATGTATGCCACATAGGAGCCAGACAAAGGGCCGAGCGCTGCCTGTGTGCCAGTTGTTGTTTGAGTTACGGAGCTGACTCCACAGGGTTCCTCCTCGCTGGGAGCCCGTCCAGCCTCGGAGGCTTCGGGGGAAGTACCGAAGCTTTCATGCTGTTTTAACTACAGATGTAGCCATCATACATAGTTCCACATTTTACTGCTCCAGCAGCGTGTTGCAAGAAATTACCTCCAAACTGTGGCACTGCCCCCAAGTGGACGTGTTTGAGAACCTTGCTCTCCTCCAAGTCATTAGAGGAACTGATATGGACAACAGATGACACTTTGAAATACAGTGAGTCGCAGCAAACATCAGAGGTCAATAGACTTTTTTCACAGAAGAGCACAAGTGAAACAAATTTCAAGCAAAAAGATGGCTCCATTAAATGTTCCAGTAACCAATGCCAGTGAGCCAGCATGCAAAATACAGGGGTCGAGGAATCACCGAAATGGAATGTACTCATTATTAATTTTATTAATTACACCTGTGTTGTCCTGCTACGATATGCCAAAATGTCCGCTGTGAAAGTCTTATATCAGATACACTTACATGTAGTACATAGCGTATACTATCTACTTCCTTGCATAGTATTCAGATTTTGACAGGGTAGTGTCACGAACCATTTTTGGGTCCATGTCATTGGTTCGA